ACTTGTTTTTCAGATAACATGCGGTTGCTACTGCTTCCGCCCAAAATTCAGCTGCCAAGCCTGCATTACTTAGTATGCTCCTTGTCTTTTCCATGAGAGACCGATTAAGCTTTGCTGCCACCCCATTATGCTGAGGTGTATAGGGCATTGTCTTCTGCCTGGTAATGCCACTGGTCACACAGAATTGATCAAATTTCACTGAACAGAATTCTCCTCCATTATCAGTCCGCAAAACTTTGATTTTCCTATCAAATTGATTTTCCACCAAAGCTTTGAACTCACGAAATTTTTCAAGCACATCATCTTTCATTTGCAGAAAATGTATCCACACATATCTGGAAAAATCATCAGTAAAAGAAACATAATACCTTGATTTTTCAAAAGATGCAATAGGTGTAGGACCAAAAACATCACTGTGGATCAAATCCAGAATCCCTTTCGCTCTTCCTCCTATGGATTCAAAAGATACTCGATTTTGTTTCCCATGTAAACAATGTTCACAAAATCCGAAACCCATAGAACAGCTTGGAATTCCATCCACCATCTTCTTTGAGGTAAGGGTCATCAACACTTTCTCACCGATATGACCCAATCTCCGATGCCATAGTATCGAAAGATCTTCTTCCACCTGCTCTGAGATATAACTCTTACCGCTGATCACTGTGCTTCCCAAATAATTTCAACAGTTTTCCATACCGTTCACCTCTGGCGATCACCACAGATCCACGGGTTAGCTTGCATGAATATTTGTCGCTGGTGAAGGTAATGACAGCATCTGCCATAGTTCCCACAAAATAAGATTCCTCGAAAGACCAGGAATATGCATCACATCTGGAAGATTCTTGATTGTCCCATCTTTCATCTTTAGCTTCACCTTTCCATGACCAATAATATCAAGCGTCGTGTCATCCCCTATTCGCACTGTGCCTCCCTGATATGGCTCATAATAGCATAACCAATCTCTATGAGGCGTCACGTGGAAAGACGTTCTGTATCAATTATCCATGCACTTTGCAATCGCCCCGTGATGAATTGCGAGGCTAGATACATGTCTCCCGTGCCACTTTGGCATCATCCTTCTTTGTACTAGAGGATGATGCCTCATCTTGCTTCTCTCGGACCTACACTTTTGCTTCTTCAATCTTTCTTCAAGTGTCCAGGCTTTTTGCACTTCCAACATGTCATTTCCAATCGATCTTGGCTTTTAAATCTTCCTCTGGACTTATTCTTGCCACCAAATTTGAATTTGGATCGGTCACTACTCCTTCCTCTTACGAAAAGAGCCTCTTGCGTTGCACTACCAGAACTAGCTCTCCTCATCTCCTCAGACAATAGAGCAGCTACAATGCCTTCGAAGGATAATGCACTAACACCAGTGCCAATCGAAATAATTATATGTTCTCATGAATTCGACAGTGAACACAACAAAGTACATGCTTTATCTTCCTCATCCAGATTGACATCGATCGATGCAAGTTTCTCACAAATAGTATTAAATTCGTTTAAGCGTGCAGAAAAAGAATCACCTTCGTTCATCCGCAAGTTGTACAGTCGCTTCCACAAAAAGAGTTTGTTCGCGAGTGACTTGCTCTGATAAAGGTTTTTCAGCTTCGTCCAGAGATCCTTTGCCGTTTTCTCAGAAGTCACGTTCGCTAGAACACTATCCGCAAGGCATAACCAAATTAGGTTTCGCGCCCTCTGATCTCTACTATTCCACGCCTTCAATTAATCAGACATGGACTCGGTCTCCTTTGCCTTCTCCTTAGATTTTTCCTTGGGTTTATCTTCTTCGATCACGTGCCATAGATCTCTATCTACGAGCAAAGCCTCCATTTTCAATTTCCATAAATCGAAACCCTTTCCTCCGAACTTCTCTACTTCAATCCGTGATTGACCAGCCGATGACATCTTTCCAAGATTCGATTTTTCGGATCTCTCTTCACCAAGAAACCATAACCTCAAACTTTGCTTTGATACCAGATGTTAGGATTCGCCGCACAATAACAAAGAAATAGAAAGTAAAAAGCGAGAAAGAGAAACAATACACGAGGTTTTTATCTTGGTTCACCCTAAAACTAGGGCTACGTCCAATAGAGGATTTGACTATAATTAGCACATCGTACCTCTATGTTACATCTCTCAATTATAAGAGAAAGATACTATATATAGGCAATAGTTTGATTCAAAATAGGAAACCTCTTTCTAGGAAACCTATTCTAATTAGGAAACCTATTTAAAATATGAAACATAATTGAATTAGGAAACTTATTCAAAATAGGAAACATAATTGAATTAGGAAACTTTCCTTTTCCTGACTCAAACTATAAAAGCTCTCTTGCGGCTCCGGACCGCCGCTCCCGCGACCCTTGCCTGCTCACCGGGGAGTGGGACCCCCTTGCCTTCCCGTCAATGAGGAGTATGAACCACATCCCAACGCTCCTAATGGGATCGACTTCCCCGACGGTGCCACCGGAAGGCTTGTCAATGGCCGTACCTCACATCTGTCGACGACATCATTGGTCTGCTTTCTTACCTTCTCCCTTTTTTCCCTCAACCTTTCTGACTGTTCACGTCAAATCTTGGAAAAATATAATGTAATGTGGCTTTAAGCATAGTATCATGTTTTCCCATGGAAATTAATGTTGTCCTAAAAGTTCCTTAAGAGGCCGTTTACATGCGGGCGCCTATTACGTTCATGGGCTTGCTATTCAGCTCCGTATTTTAATAAAAATTATAAAAATTGTCTACGCTAGCGTGGCCGTAATACTTGGCACAGGGCCATCCTACGGCCATGCCACGTAGTACGGCCACGTTGACTAGACTTTTACGTCAGCGATTTCAGGCCAACATTTGCCGGAATTACTAAATTGGCAAATCATCAAAAGGTTTAGGACTAAATTAACACAGTTGAAAAGTTTAGGACTGAATTGATAAATCGTCAAAATGTTTAGGATTAAATTAGTACGGTTGAAAGATATAGGACTGAATTGACCGTTGTACAATAGGTTTAGGACTTTTTAAATATTTTTCCCGGCACCTACTTATTGCGCTGGAAACACGTCCAACTACTCGGTGTTGGCCAGCATCCCTGCCATTCCTTGGTCAGGCGCCCCCTAGATGTCCGGCTTCGTTCAGGTGTTAGGCAAGCTGCGGGCCATCTTCACATGCCCTCGTTTTGTCCATCTCCGTCTCCATGCCTCCACAAACATTCCGAGTGTCTCGATAAATAGAAACATGTGCCGATTTTGAATCGAACAGGAAAACTTCGAGCTATAATCAACATCTTCTTCTTCATTTTCAGCCAAACATTAAATTTCTACTATTCACTTGGTACGTACGCAACTCATGTTGTTTGCCTAAGCTGACCACGCAAAGAGCATAGCCTGGTCAACTCCCGGAAATTTCTCTTCAAGTCGTGCAATCACATCGTTTTGGTGTAGACGACATCTTTTTTTCTCTCTCTCTCTCTTTGCAATTTGAGAACAGAAGCTTCTGAATAGAAATGTAAACACGGATTAATCTACCATTATCAAATACTATATCTATTTTCCCCCAAAAAATCCCACAATATTTCTTAGTTTACTTTCTCGTAGCATGACCCAAAACAGCTTCACCATGGCTGGCAACGTAAGAGACGGGTCAACAGTTTTAACGTGCACTAAACATCTTCATGCATATTCTATATGCACACTATCTCGTTTTTTATAGGAACATACCTAATGGGTTTGAGTTTCAAGGATTTGCTTCGATGGTTAATGACTAGCTTAAAGAAAGGCGAAGAGTTGTGTGACGTTGACATATGCGAAACGATAGAGCTTGTAATATATTTCAATTTTTAATGATTGTATGCGTTCTTGAGCAATCATATTCAATTTATGCCTGTTCATTGATTCTTATGAAGGCGTATGGAAGTAGCATTGTTTGCACATAGTGCGTGCATGATAGCTAATGCTAAAATAAATTGGTCAAGAAAGGATGTGAGTACATCTCGTCCCATTGTGACTATCGATAAGTTTTATTAGGGAGAATTATCAGAAAAGTCCTATATTTATTGTATTTATGCCAATTCAGTCCATTTGGCCAATTTTGCTGGAAATCGTTGACATAGACGCCGGCCGTCCTACGTTCTTCTTCCCTTCCTTTGGCTACCAGTTAGAGACAAGGGCCGTTGAGGCCGACCTCACCATGGTCGGGAGAGGCCGAGCCTCCTCATCGTCTTTGGGCGAGGGCAAGACTTGCTCGTCGATGGTGCGGCTCGGCCTCGCCCAGAGACGGGGAGGTCGGCCTTTCTGGTGGCCGGCGAGGTCCAGTTGTTGAGGTCTAGCGATCAGCTAGAGGCAGAACGAAAGGAAGAAGAAAAAAAAAGAGAAAGAAAAGGAAAAAAGGAAAATAAATAAATAAATAAATAATTCGGAAAATATTAAAATATTATTAAAAAAATCCACGTAGGACGGCCGGCTTCTATATCAGCGATTTCCAGCCAAAATTGTTTGGATGGACTAAATTGAATATGTAGGATTCAACTAGCAAAAAAAAAAAGTTTAGGACTGGATTGGCACAATCACAATAGGTCTAGAACTTTTTTGGTAATTTCCCCGTATCATGACATCTAACTTGAAAACGGACGCAACTTTTTATCATAACTTGCATCTCAATATACATATATTTTCTGACCTCATGCACATGGGACACGACTGGTTTTTTCTAGATATATATTAGGGTTCATCCAAGGACAAAAATTGCTGGAATATGCCAATTGGATCACGGCCGGAAATTATTTAAGACAATGTGCTCAACGGAAAGAAGATTTCAAAGCAATACCTTTCACTTCACGTGAATAAATTCCTTGTAGTCGTTATTTACATTCTTTTCCCTCCCACAGAATTGGGTGCAAGCCAGAGCGAATGGAAAAAGTTAAACTACATGAATTATTTTTAGAAAACGACGACCTACTTAATCACGGGTTTAAGCTATTTAATTATGCGTGCGATCGTACTTAATGGTCCTCTTCTTGCTTTCTGTTCTGCTCATCATCGGTCACCAATTACTTCCAAAGAAGCTTCGTTCTTTCTTCATAGATATTTCCCATTTCAAAATGGCATCATTCGAGTACAATATAGCATGGAGAGTTATTCTGTCTGTTCTCTTCTTGATCTCGTCGGATTCGCGAAGCAGGGTTGTCGGAGCTCCTCAAGTCCCGTGTTACTTCATATTCGGAGACTCGCTCGCCGACAATGGGAACAACAACGATCTCGAGACTCAGGCCAAAGCAAATTATCCTCCTTATGGGATCGACTTCCCCGAGGGCGCGACAGGAAGGTTCACCAACGGTCGCACAACCGTCGACATCATTGGTCTGCTTTCTTACCTTCTCGCTTTTTTCCATCGACCCTTCAAACTGTTCATGTCAAATCTTTGGAAAAAGCATAACGTGATGTGGCTTGAACATAGTATCACGCTTTGCTAAAAGTTGCTAAGGAGGCCAAAAAGCAAAAACTCCCGTGACTTTACATGCTTGCGCCTATTAAGTTCATGGGCTATCTATTCAGTTCTTTATTACTATACTTATTATTGTTATTGTTATTATTTCTTTTAATTGTGAATTACAGCTAAACACCTAGGGTTTGAAAAATACATTCAACCCTTTGCTACTGCAAAAGGCTGCGAGATACTCGTCGGCGTGAATTATGCATCCGGTGGGGCGGGCATTCGAGATGAAACAGGACAGCAACTGGTACACAAATATGTAGAATTTTACGCCTAGTGTTTGAAGGCTGGGTTGGACGGCATCCGCCTGCCCCCCTTAGGTCTGCCTCTATTATTTTATACGTGTATTCAAAAGGATATCTTTTCCATGCTCTTCCGATAGGGCGATCGGATCAGCTTGAACCATCAATTGCAAAACCATTTGGTCACGATCTCGCGCGTCAGAGAAATGTTGGGATCGAATGCTACGGCATACTTAAACAAGTGCATATACACGGTAGGAATGGGAAGCAACGATTACATCAACAACTACTTCATGCCAGATGTATACCAGACCAGCGAGCTTTACATGCCCGAGCAATACGCCGATGTACTAATCGAGCAATACCGACAACAGTTGAAGGTAAATATTTTCTCCTGATACGCATTGGATAGCAAAAGTTCTAATGTAAATTAACATCTACTTCTTTTTTTACAACTTTCATTTGATAATTACTTTGGAACATCCGTAGTTTCAACGGATCTGATATTTTTTTTCATCATCCCACTTTCAAACCCTAGACCCTGTATTCATATGGAGCAAGGAAGGTGGCAATATTTGGATTAAGTGTGATAGGTTGCGCCCCAGAAGAAATATCGAGATTTGGGACCAATGGATCTCTGTGCGTCGACAAGATCAACAGCGCGGTTATGTTATTCAACGACAGGCTCAAAACCCTCGTTGATGAGCTGAATAGCAACCTCGCCGATGCTAAGTTCACCTACATAGACTTTTTCGGAATCTCCATGGCTGGACTTCCAGGTATTTATCTCTCTCTCTCTCTCTCTAACAATCTTGTGTTGAAAAATCCTTTTTTGAGTTATGCTAGCAATAAATCAAAGATTAGTTTACCAAATGACAAAACTATTAGCCATATTAAGGGGTGTATAAGTATATAGTGGCACAATGTCTAACAATCTTGTGTTGAGAAATCCTTTTTTGAGTTATGCTAGCAATAAATCAAAGATTAGTTTACCAAATGACAAAACTATTAGCCATATCAAGGGGTGTATAAGTATATAGTGGCACAATGTCTGGTTCTTCAAGTGTAAATTTCAACGATGGTGTTAATTATGTTTGTCTAATGTTCAGCTCTCCGACTTGCAAGTTCAACCTGTTGTAAGGTTCGGGAGGATGGCATGTGCATTCCCTTCGAAACTACATGCCTGATTAGGATGTTGCACCCCTTCTACGACGCATTCCACCCCACGGAGACGGTAAATTTGGTGTTTGGTGCAAGAGCTTACAAAGCTTTGCTTTCTTCTGATGCTTACCCTTTCGATATTCATCATCTCGCGATGCTCTGAAGAAGGAGATAGAGAGATTAAGCACTCGTGTGCGTGCATATTAATTCAATATGGCTTCGGTTGATATTGATATGGTTGTTCACTAGAATCTCCAACTCAATTTGACAAATTTTTATTCATGTCGATACCATGTCCGTCCAAAGAAAATATTTGACGCCATGAGGGCATTTTGAAATAATGACAATTTCGTGCATGTGTACTATATATACACATCGAGAAATTTGATGATGACGAAATGATGTTCTCTTTCTTGACATGAAATGAAGAAATTTGGGAAATTGGAAATTGTATTCCTTTTTGTTCTAAAGCTTTTCATTTATACAAAGTCCTATATATAATATAAGGAAATACAATGTAGGAGATAACATACAAAACCATATTTTCCTATTCTGCTGAATTATTTTCCAATCCTAGTGATTCGTCAATCAATCAATCCACGATTTACTCAATCAATCTAAGAAAAGGAAACCATATCTCCAACACCCCCCTCAAGCTAGCGCCTTGTATATGTCGAAAATGCCTATCTTGCTTAATAGATATGTGTGTTGAAATTTATCTCGAGTGAAATGACAGTCGACCTTTATATGCTTTGTTCTTTTATGAAAGACTGGGTTTGCCGCAAGTTTGAGCACAACATAGTTGTTGCAGAACAACATAATTGGCCCATCAACTTGCATGCTAAGGTTTGAAAGTAAACCTCGTATCTGGACTATTTCACAAACGGTCTTCACCATAGCTCGATATTCAGATTCGGCTGATGACACTGATTCTTTGTCTTCTATGAAATCAATGACTTTCCCAATTTAATGTAAAAACCAGTAATGGATCTTCGGGTCACTGGCCAAGTAGCATAGTCCGTGTTACAATAAGCTGCCATTTTCATGTTGCAATCTCGAGATAAAAGTATTCCAAGTCTGGGACATCCCTTCAAATACTTCACAACTTTCAGTGCTGCATTCATATGGGATTGCTTTGGACTGTGAATAAATTGACTGAAAATTTGCACTACATGGCATATATCAAGTCTAGTCATGGTAAGATAAATCCATTTTTGACGAGTTTCTGATAGCTTGATGGATTACTAAGCAATGGGTCTTCATTAGATGACGATGATGATCCTGCATCATATTCAAGCATCGTCAACTTGTAGTTTTGCTCAATCGAAATAACAACTGGCTTACATTCGGACAGACCAACTTCTGATATGATTTCCAAAATAAATTTTCGTTGGCTAAGGCAGATTCTCATGTCTGACCAGGAAATCTCAATGCCCAGGAAATACTGGAGAGGTCCCAAATCTTTAATATGGAAAGTGGAGTGTAGATATCCCTTAGACTTTCCGTCAGCAAATTCATCATTTTCCATAATAAGTATACCATAACATATATCAATAAATAGATTGATGATGTACCTTTCATCCATGTAAATAGTCATGTTTGGAATGCTCAAACCTTTCATCTGTGAGTGTTGTGGTAAACTTGTTGTACCATTGCTGGAAGCTTGTTTAAGTCCATACAGGAATTTACGGAAACGACATACTTGAGACTCCCCGTGCCTGCATAAAGCCTGTGGATGATCCATATAAATTTCTTCATCCAGATCACCATGAAGAAAGACATTATGGACGTCCATATGGTGTAAAGGTCAATTGCGAAAGGTGGCAATAGATAAAAAAGAACGATTAGTCACCTCCTTTGCTACCGGGGAGAAAGTCTCATGATAATCGAAACATTTCCATTGTGTAAAGCCTTTAGCCACTGATCGAGCCTTGTAGCGCTCAACAAAACCATTTGCCTTGTACTTGATCTTGTATACCCATTTGAAATCAATTGGTTTTCGATGTAGAGGTAGCGATATAATATCCCAAGTATGATTCTCCATGAGGGTATTTAATTTAGCCACCATAGCTTGTTGCCCACATGGATCATGAGCTACTTCATCATAGGAAGAGGGTTCTTGTTCCTCGGATATGCGGCTAATATAATACATGTGCCCTGATGATAACCACTAAATGAAACATAAGAGGAAACATGATAATGAGTACTTGGAGCATACAAAGTAGGGCATTTATAATCTTTGGTCTACATGGGAGGACGATTGTTGCGGTTGGAACATCGAAGTTGCTCATTATGAGTCCATTCGTGAATTGATAAAGGAAACTCGTCAATACACGGTTATGGAGAGGCCACTGATGAAGCTAGAGAAGATTTCTTCTCAGATTACTAAGTGCTCAATCATACGTTCCGAAGTTGACAAAGAAACTAAATTATCCGTGACTGGTAAAGAAGACATTGGATCTGGCGTAATAAGAACATATTGTGGAGTCAAAGATAAATCCTCCTCAGATAGAAACTAGCAACAATTAGATGTTTAGATAGATTGCAAAGGCAAAGATGTCATTTTCTAAAAAGGAAATATATCAGCATGGAAAACAACATCTTGGCTTACCAAGAAGTGACCTGTAGATATCTCCAGGACACGGTAACCTTTCTATAGAGAGGGATATCCCATGAATACAGTGAATGCCATAGGGAACCATTTTGTCCCAAGGGCCCATGGTTGTTACATAGCATAAATAGCCGAAAACTCTTAATTGACCAATCTCTAGACATTTCCCTAAAAGCATCTCAAAAGGAGTTCAACCCCTAAGGACCCGAGTTGGCATGCAATTGAATAGATAGGCTACCGTGACCATACTATCTCCCCAAAAGGTTTCGGGGATAGACGCTTGGTACTTAAGAGCACGGGCTACTTCCAAGAGATGACGGTGTTTGCGCTCAATAATCCCATTTCGTTGGGGAGTATAAGTGCAAGAACTTTCATGAAGGATCCTATTAGAGGAGAAGAGGGACACACGTTCATTATTGAAAAATTCGCATCCATTATTAGCACAAATGTGCTAGATAGATTTGTCAAATTGATTTTTTGACCAAAGAGAAGAAATTTGTCATATGTAAAAAACTTGACTCTTGGATTGCATTAGGAAAACCCATGTGGCACGTGTATAATCATCCACAATAGTGAGGAAAAAATTATCTCCGCCGCGATATGGAGTATGATAGGGACCCCGGATATCGACGTGAATTAGGGAAAAAGCACTAATGGCTTGAGATGTACTGATGGGAAATAGTGTAATTGATTGCTTTGCTAAAGAACAGATGGGACATTTGGGATAGGAAAAACAAACGCTATGACCCAACGTTGATGAGAAAGGACAATTTTATTATTGGCAGTGGCATTACATGAAATGCCTTTATTCAACGAAGTACAAGATAAATCAAAATCTTTTGGAAAACTAGTCAAAAAATATAGCTCTTATGCAACGCTACCCAAGCCCATCAGTTTGCTAGTCGAAAGACCTTGAAAGAAACAATTTTCAGAATTGAAGAAAACATGGTATGAATTGACCTCATAGGCTTTGGAGATAAAGATGAGATTAAATTCAAAAATGGAAATGACATTCTTAAGGATAATGATGGGACTAAGATGAACCATGCCAATTTTGGTGAAGTAAGTGACATTCCCATTTGGAAGACGCACCGGCATGGAAGAATGGGGTTTTGGTGAACTTGAGAAAAAATTGTTCATTGCAGATTATGTGGTCACTGGCTCTTAAATCAATTATCCATGCATCAACTGAAATGGAGTTCGTCAGACAAAAGGAGGTACTTGAGAAGCTCGCGATCTTGTTAGAAATGTCCAATTGACTCAGGGTCTTCATGATGTTTCGATACCAATCATGAGTAATATTCTGATTTGCCCTTTCAATTCCTTGTGTCGAGACCGATAAATAGAAAATTCTCTTGCTTTCCTTTATCACTTGGCTTTCCATGTAATTTTCAGCATGTATTGACAGTATGGTATGGACGTTTGCAATATTCATAGGATTTAGCTTTTCCTTTCAAATGTTGCCCACCCTTTTTCTGTGATGATGTGGCACCCTGTGAGCCGCTAGATGACTTGAAAGCCGGCGCAGACATGACCTGATATGGGCCATTAGATTCGAGTGCATGGATGGATGAAAGATGTCCTTCAGATTGTGGATTTTGATCTGGGCCGTCCAAAAGGGCTTTATAAAGCCTTCTCATTCCTCCCACCGAAACCCTAGTGCTGCACAATGGGTGTTTGTGGCTATGGGAGTTCGCTGCAATGGGTTCACCGGAGCCGCTAACGTCGCACTTTCACCCACTCGGACGTACTCGAAGGTTGCAAGGTGCTAATTTTCCTCTTGGACGGTGAGTTGATATATTCGACTGAGTGGTGGAATGGGCTCCATGGTTATAATCTGCGAACGAAAATGTGAGTAACTATCATTCAAAATTAGTAGGAACTGTGCCACCTTCTTTTGTTCCTTGATGTCCTGGTACTGTTTCAAGCTGGTTTTAAGCCCTTTGAGCTTCTCCTCGGCCGCCTCAAGCTCGTTCCACAGAGCCGAGAGTCGGTTGAAATTAGTGGTGACCGAGAGGTTCCCTTCAACTCAGACAAGGCCTGGGTGAGCAAAAAAAATTTCACTTGATCCAATTTACCGTACAATTTGCGGATGTTTTCCCACATCATTTTTGAGTCCTTAGTTGATGTGTAGTCCGGCTGCGACCTTGGGAGCAGCACAGTTCCCACTCTATATGTGTACGAGTTGGTTGTACTTGCGCCAATGTCGTTGGAGTTAGTCGTCAATTGGGAAGGGGACGGTTTTGTCAATTAAATTGTCCTTATCTTCATCACAAGTGCTCGCCGAAAATCCCTAAACCGGGTCGAGTAGTTGTCTAGAACAATGAGCTATTAATTGATGTGCTGTATAATTCCAGGCCGTCGGCCGTTGATGTGTAGATCGTATCATCGGGCTCCAGGTTGCCGCTGATGGTGGAAATCGAGTACGGAAGATACTCGGGTTGGAGGAGCGGGTAGGGATTCGACCCTAAACCCGCCGCAACTGATTCAGGTTTCTGACCCGTGAACAACCAACCCCGCCTCCCATTTGGGTTAGCTCCAAGGGCAGTAGCCATATCTCCTCCGGATGTGCCCTGTTGAGTCGATTTTTGGGCTGAAAGTTGGGTTGGCCCAGCTATCCATTAGATTGGTTGGCCTTGTACAGGAAACCAATGGATTGGTGGCCATT